CCGCTGGGTGTTTTTCCATCAAAATCATTGGGATCAGAGCTGAGCCTGAAATGTTATAGACTTAACAGAAAATTACTTTTGGTATTCCCCTATTAAACTGATTTTACAGAAAACTAGTGATTTAGAAGCAATAAGATGATAAAAAAAAACTTTACTTGGAATATTTCATTCCGCTAATAAACTTTCTGAAGGAACCAGTACGTCAGTCTTGGGGCAGCGCTAACATTCATGTATGACTTTCCCAGGTATTTCTATTCCCCTGATGAAAAATCTGTCTCTGGCCTATCTGTTAAATTACTTAGCTTTTTCAGAGCAACAGAAACGCCTGGAGCTCCCTACAGCGCGTTGCGCACGGATCGCGGTTCATAGTGTGTTCTCTGTTACGGTGCTGGACTCGCAGACGAGTCTGTGTCACTTGGCTTCCCACCACGGCGAGCGCTGCTCCGGCCCATGAAGCGCTGCATTCAGAGCACTGTGTTGCTCTGCGGCCAGAACAGGGTTTTCAAAGACGGAAAAACACCCGGAGAGGGAATGCTCACGCGCACGGCGGGTCCCGGCTGCGTCGCGCAGGAGGCCGCACAGCGCGGGGCCCGCGGGGACACGTCCCGTCCGCACGGAGCGCCGCGCCGGGAAGGGGCTGCAGGGCCCTGCGGGCACCGGCGCGCAGAGCAGCCCCCGAGCCCTGTGCCGGCACTGGGGCTCCTGGGCCCCGCAAATGCAAAATGAGGTAGTTTCAGTGTTTCTGCACAGCGCTGCCGTACGCAGTGCTGATCTCCTCTGCCTCTCATCAGCGTTAGCACAGCTGTGGTTACTCAGCGTTTCTCTAAAATCTGGCACATAAATTGTGTGACTTAGTCACTCAGAGCTGCTTTCAACTCAGAATAACAACAGTTACAGAGGGGATGCTGTATACGCAGATTTCATTGTTTGTCAGTGTTTAAAATGAAAAGAATTGTCGCTTGAGCAGTTTCCTTTTATACTGTCAGTAGTGTCTTAAATATTAAGATTTTATTGAATATATTTCACAGAAATTCTGAGAAAGGATAGACAAAGCAAAAAGCATGAGAAAGCAGTTCATATTTCCCAAGTTAATATAGCAAAATTTTAATATTGTGGATTAAGCAAGTGAATGTGAATAAGAAGCAGGGGGGCCCAAACAGTACATGGAATACAGTACAATAGAATATTTTTTAAGGAATATGTAATGTAACTGCTTCAAAGCAACCTTTCTGGAAGGAAAGACATAACCCTTGAGATTGTTCTGCATAAACACAGCATAGAAAAACAGAAATTGTAACACTGCACAGTACCTTTCGCTGTAGTTTCAGATGCAGGAAAATTTGTCATTAGTATCTCACACTTTTTGCAAAACTGTAGTCTTAAGGTAACATTTAGCATTTTATATATACGCAGTTATTTGCCTTCTTTTCCCTGTGGTCTATGCCTGTAATTTCAACCTCTGAAGTTTTTTTTTTTTTTTATCTTTTTAACTGTCATACAGTAGGCTATGCAGTGTTGTTTAAACTAAGATTAAAATGTGATCAAGTACATTAAGCTATAAATTTAATCTTCTGTAACCCGAAAGTTCTCTGAAGTTGAGGAATGTACTTGAGAAACTCAATGTCTTTGATTGTACAGAGCAGCGTAAAAAAACCCTGACTGCTCAGGTTTCATCTGATTGCAGTCAAACAGTCGTCTTCCTGTGCTGTACTGACTATATCAATTCATTTGAATGTACAAAGAAGTAAACAAGGAAGCACATTAAAGTTTTAAAGTCTATCTTGCCATGAATTTCCATCAAACCTAGTTTAGCTAACAAAAATCTGGGAGTCCATGCAATTTCTGTGTGTTATGAGCAATGAAAAATTGAAAGCAACTGAAAGGAACAGGTTAATTTGCTGCATTTTTAATGCTTGTTTTACACACTGCCTGTCTTTATTTTTTTACGAGTAACAGTACACATTTTCAGTATTAATATAAATATTTTGTGCCTTTTCCAGATGACTGCACTAGAAGAAGTCGCTGGTGACGTTGTGTTCAAGTTTGAACCATTTGTTCTTCATGTGCTGTGTCGAGAGCTGCAAGACGCGCAACTTCTGGTAAAATTACATCAAGTAACAATGTGACATTGTTATTTCACCATATTCCTTGCTGCACAAGTAAAAGTATTGGCTCCTGAGTAGATTTTAACACTAAGGATATTCCCAGATGTACTGCATGGTTAATAACTTGGGTAGTAAAAATAAGCTAATGAAGAAAACATAGCTTTAAACTTACTAAAGATTTTGCTGCGCTTTTTAGAAAACAAGATTACTTGACCACTTCTGTATTTTAGGTGAAGCAGGTTGGCAGGTTAAAAAAAAAAAAAAAAAAGAAATCCCAGAGAGCCTCTGTTGCTTTCGTTGGCTAAAAGTGAGAGGTTTTTTATAAGTTATTTTGCTGCTTGCCAAGCCATTTGGCTCTGGTGTTTCAACTAATTGAGTAGCACCTTTGCCTTCTGCTTTTCCAGAACAACTCTGGAGAGCCTAATGCATGATGGATTTGTTCCATGATTCACATAGAGGAGAGCTGGAGAACTTCTCTCACCGAGGTGCTCCCCATTAGCTGTGGGTGTTGCACGATTGCCTGTAGCATTACCAGCATTTAAGGTAAAACAGTGCAAGGCAAGAGAGACACGAGTGCAGATGGCTGCACTGATGGTTTAAGGTTGGACAATCAATTAACAATGGTTCTCTGAGAACCAGCCACTCCATTTTGTGGCTTCAAATGCAACTATTATTGCATTAATCTGGGGAGACGATTTTGAATAAGTTCTTGACAAACTGGGTTCATAACTTGCAGTTTGTAATACAGTCTTGCTGTGAAAGTGTGCGTGACCTGTTTGACATGTATTTGTTCTGCAGCATTCTGCAGCTATCGATTCTGGATTCAGGAACTCTGGTATTACAGTTGGCAAAAAAGGAAAAATTGTGATGGTAAGGACTTCTCTGCTTAACTACAAATAATTTGACCAGATATTTCATTAACGTTAATCTCAAATTTTTAAAGCCAAGATCTGAATAGTAAGGTGAAAGACTGCTATTTCACAATATTGTGCTGAAAAAAAAATCTGCTTTGCTTGACAACAAATTAAACAATTATGTGCCTGGTTTTTTTTCTTCTTGTCATGAATTTCCTATGTTTAAATAACCCCTTTAAAATAATAAAAAAAATCTTTATACTAGATGAATATTTAAATGTGTGTGTTTTAGGCTGTGCGGAGCACTCATTGCTTAGAAGTTCCATTGAGCCACATGGGGAAACTCATGGTCTCTGAAGAATATATTGAATTTCTGATACAAACAGCAAATCAAAAAATGGAAGAGAACATGAGGAGGATTGACAGGTTTGTTAGATTACACTAATTCTATTGATGATATTAAATGCAAAAGTGAAAGGTGGTTAGCTAAGAGAGGCCATGTAAGAAGAATCCTACGTGTTTTTTAAAAAAAGTTGCAGATCTAAAATACAAGTTTCATTAACTTTGAGCTCTGAAGACTGTAAACTGTTTATTTAAACAAAGCCTAAAGCAATATGAGTTTGCAGGCCAAGTTTGTTACTAAGTAGCATTCCATTTTCTTTTTCTAATGATAACAGGAGCATTTGGGCATTTGTTTTTTTGTTTTTTAACACAGGAACAGTTTCAGATTGCAATGCTTTTAGTCACCTACAAATTTTTCAGACTGCAATGCTTTTAGTCACCTACAAATTTTTAGTTTCCAAAATTAATGAGTCATGAAGGAGATGGAAGGTTACCTAGATTTGGGGTCCTTATATTTTTGTTTCCAGATATGAGGAACAGAACAAGTGGCATGAAGATCAAATGAATGCTGCAGATGCACTTACTTTTATTAAGACCAGTTTGTTTTTATTTGTCCATTTAAAATCTCTATAGTTGTCAGAGGAGTTCAAAGTTGCTACAAATGGTAGCAGTCCAACCAACTGCAGTCGTTTATTAGACACTTAAGATGATAACAATTTATGGTATCTGTAAAGTTAATCGGGCCTTAATTGCACATAAGTACATCCACTAATTGATTTCTAATATACAAACATTTAAAAGAGAAGTGACATGGCATAAACATGACACATGCTGCTACTCCTCATTTTTCTTGAAGTGTTAATTGGTACGTTTAGTAACAATTTTGTTTTCTTTATGCTTTTTCACTGAAATACAAAATCACTAGTTTCTCTAATTTTGCAGATCCTACAAAATCTACAACAACAATAACTGCACGTTTGTTTCCTTCTAGGTTCTACAATTGCTTACAGTTAGCTTTGAAAACTGCCCCCGATGCAGACGACTCACCTTCTGAAGAGAGAGAGAAGAACCACGATGTGTATGTCCGCAGAAGAAAGAGGGAGACTGTTCAGAAACGTGGTGCATGCACCTCTCCGGGTGACCACAGCGAAGAATTAGAACAGGAGGATGACCCGGAAGGCAACGTTGATATTTTTGGTGAAATTACGGAGTAGACTAAGACATTCGAAAGCATGTGTCAAAGTGAATGATTATACTGCTCTTCATAAGAGATACAGATACTACTCTGTTCTAAGTGGTTCTAAGTAATAATACTTATGGCCATTTACCTACAGAAAGTAATTAAACAGAGTTGTGACTGAGTTTAATGTCACAGACGCATGGAGAAAAAGACTTACAACATTTTTTAAAAAAGATTGAATTTATTTATTTTAGTTTGTCAGTTATTGCAGAAATAGCTGTTTCATTACAGCCCTTGGCCACATTCTCCATGGACATCTGTGGAAGTAATCCCCTTTTAAATGCTGCCCTTGGCCCTTCTAGTTTTTGCAAAGGAAGGGTCTTCTGGGAGCTGAGTTATCTTGAAGACTTGTGTATCTGTAGGAATATGTGCAGCAACACAAATGGCAGCACAAAGCCGTGCACTATGGCCAAGGCAAAGCATCTGCCCTGGAGACGAGAACAGACCCGTGAGCCCCGCGCGCGGCTCCGCGCAGACCGTGACCAGCAGCTCCCTCCCTGCCCCGTGCGCCGGGCAGCAAAGCTGACACTTGTTTTGCTGCACTTTGCTCTTTGTCCAGCCTTTAGCCCCACCGCTGATGTGTTCTGCTTCCCTTGGCTAGCAGCCAGTAAGTGTTGTTTTTCTTCGCATGTTCTAGCCAACACTGTGTGCTGATAGTTTGTTAGTTCACTTTTATATATTTCTATATGGCCAGCACCCAGCTCTAATTCCAACTGTCAAGTAAAATTTCAGCTGTAGGTGCAGAGCAACAGGTTTTCCTAGCAGGCTCTAAATCACTGACATAACGCTAACTGTTAAATGCAAAATAGGTGCAGTGTTTTGTATATTCCTACAATGTACACCGGAAAATAGTTGCTCGCTATTGGTAGGGTTTTTGGTTGTTGCTGCTGGGGTTTTTGGGGGGAGGGTGGAGGAAGGAAAGTGAATTTGTAAACCTTAGCAGCAATGAACTCTCAGCTCTTATCCTTTATGACCTAGTGGTTGCTGACATGCATCACAGGGCTGACTGAAGGAAACGGTTGGGTTGGGGCAGTACCTCCAGTTTGTGTAGTTAGGAAACTGTCATTGTTTCCATTACATAAACCTACATCTTGGGGGCATTTTAATTCCACTGTAAAAACCTGGCATACTAGGTGGCAGCAAAGGGAAAAAGTAATTGAGCTGTGTTTCCAGAGCAGGCATGCCAAGAAAAATAAACTTGTGCCCTTGGGTGTTGCTTATTTGTGTTTCTGCCTCACGACTTTTGGTCATGTGCAGTTTGGTGCGATCCCCATGGGCCCGAGACCTCCACACCCCCATGCGCCTCGGGAGAGGCAGGACCGACCAACGCGCTCCCTCCTTTAGCAGGAGCGTTGCCCTCCGCCGTGTGATCCGACGGGTCAGCCGGACCTTGCGCTTGTTCACTGCTAATTGCATGAAAATTGAACCAAACAGAGTCTCTGCTATTGTACCCTGTTGAGCGGCAGTTGGGACAGTTTGCACAAGGGTTGTTCAGACCCTTCCCAAGGGCTTTCCGCATGGAAAGCAGTCCTGGAATCCTGTCAGGTCCATGGTTTACTAGAAGCATCTGCGTATTTGGTAAGTGGATGCAAGCAGTTTGCACGCGCCCTGCCCTGCCGTGTCTCATGGCACATGCCTACAGGCCAAACAGAGATGCCAGGAAGCAATAGCTGAGGCCGACCCTGAGGCTCCCAGCATCCAGGAACCTGTATCCGTGCGGCAGGAGCCGTGTCCAAACGCAGAGCAGGGACCCTGCACCAGACCCTGAGCCCGTACAGCCGCGGCGGCAGCCGTGCCCTGGCGGCAGAGCTGCCGGCTCGCGTTTGGGCACAAGGACACTCAACATCACTGCTCCCTTTCCCATTATTCCTTCAATCCAAACACCATGGTAATGCCCCTAAACCTTTATGGTACATACCAGCATACACAATGTTTCAAGGAGTTTCAAGGGATAAGATGTTCGTCAGGAACTGATGTGTGCTAAAATTCCACAGCCCTCATAGCAAATTCTGGGGATTTTTTTTGGCAGTCTGAAGCGAGGGCGGTTAAGCTGAGCGTCGCCGTCCGGCACTGATCCCTGTGCCCCCCGGGCAGAGCTCCCGAGCGCCCCCGACGCCGTCGCGAGCGCCCACGCCGGTGCGTTCCCGAAGGCTGGGGAAAGCTCAGCCACAAATGTCCTATATGCACATAACACTTGCTAAACACTATTACACATATTGTGCACTGTAGTTTTAGAATGTCTTCATTGCTACTAGAAATACACAGTTTCTTCACAGTATGTTGGTAATTTAGTTTTATGTAACGTGATATTAAGGAGGATGTTTAGCATCAGCTGAAAGTAATGTGCAGTGTGCAGGGCGTTTTTAAAGGAACCTTTTTTAAAGGAATTGCAGCGGGAGCGCGGAGCGCGGGCACTCGCCGATGGCGCTGCTGCGAGCGAGGACCGCGTGGAGCATCCCGCTCGCTCCGAGGGCCGGGAGCAGCCGCGGCCGCGCGCGGACAGGACGCGCCGCATTTTGCTCTGCCCTCAGGGCACTCCTTGTTCGTGGCAGTGGAGCAGATGCAACATTTAGCCAACTTTGCACTGGGGATATCTTTCTTGTTTTCGTTTTCTGCGTGATCCCATAAAAGAACAACAACAAAAAAAGGTATTTTTCTCAAAACCAATTGATATTGTTCAAAATGAACATGATTCCACTGCCACATCCCAATAAACTGTATCTACCATTCATGGCTGTTGTGGATAGAGGAACTGAGGACAAACCCCACCGCACTGTTTAATTGCTGCCTGGCTTTGCCTGGGCAGCTCCTTGCGGCGCCGCATCCCGCACGTGTTTTCGCGGCCGGACAGGAGCGGTGACTCTCCAGGCACTGGGGCTCGCGCTGCATGAGTCACTGCGTGCGGCCCCTTGCCATCCCATGCCATCCCATGCCATCCCATGCCATCCCATCCCATCCCATCCCTTCCCATCCCATCCCATCCCTTCCCATCCCTTCCCATCCCATCCCTTCCCCCCAGGCACAGCAGCAGAGGCACCGCAGACACCCGATCTCAGAGCGTGTGAGGATCCACGTCTCGCCCGACTGAGTATGAGGAGCAGCCGTTTCCCTTTGCATGAGCACCTTTGAAATGAGAGTTCACAGTGCTTTTTAACTTGACGTGGGAACTGCAATAGGCAGTGCAGTGAGTGTTCGCAGATGTTTGTTCTGCTATTTTTAGCCATTGGTAGCTTTTCAAAATTCCTTGTTTTCAAGTTAAAATGCAAGGCTACTCCAAAAGGTAAAGGTAAGAAGTTTCATCAAGACCTTAGCTGCTCCCCTGAGTTGTGTGTGAATGTTTGTGTATGGTGTATGTATGAAGAGAATTAAATAAGCTCATAGGAAAACACACCCAGAGCAGCATCCTGGGCATTTTCCAAAGAAGTCCTGAGAAGAAATTCCTTAAGAAAACAGGCTCATGCACTTCGCTGCGCATTGGTGTGCCCCAAGAGAAAGCCCGTAGGTGTGATCTCCCTGAACCTGCCTGTTCTGCTGCGACTCCATCAGCTTCATCCATCCTCCAGGCTAGAGGCAGAAACACGTACACGTGTGCACGCACCCATACGCGCACACAAAGCGCACACATGTACACGTGCACGTGCACGCACGGGCACACATGCACACACATGCACACACACGTGCCCCTCCTGCTCTGCAGCAGTGGTGCGGAGCCACCATCCCCGTTTGGGAAGGGGATGGCAGCTCCTTGCTGCGCTGCTGCCGAACAAACAGGCGCACCAGGGAGCTGCCTGGGCAGCATGGACTGGCATTAATAGTGTTGACAAAAATCAAGGACCATTCATAAGTGAAATGCACCCGAGGTCACGCATTGGAGCTGCTTTTTCCACCGTCCTCCCCATCCTTCAGAGCCGTGCTTCAGACCACATCTTGCTCAAGGCTGTTTCCCGTCGCAGTGGGTCCGTCTGCCTCAGGGGGCCGTGCGGATGAAATGGGTAGCACGGGGGTGTCCACAGCGCTGCGGGCCGGGATGGGAGCCTGGAGCAGCTCTGCAAGGCTCCCAGCGGCCGCTCTGCCGGGACGCCCACGCTCTGGAGCGCAGCCCTTGCATGATGCTGAGTGAGCTCTGCTGCATAGAACACGTCCAGGGGGGTGTTTGCATTGAGCTCCGCACTCCGTTTCCTGCAAGAGGTGGCTCAGATTTCATGGGGTCATTAAACACTTTAGAAGGCGCCCCTCACGCTCTCCCTTTCCAAATCACATCTCGGACACAGGTTTTCCTGCACGCCATCAGATGTCCTTGCAGCACAAAGCAGAGGTGCTGTGTGGAGCAGAGCCGAAGCCACTGAGGTTCCTGTGAGCAGAGTGCTGGCTCTGTCCCCCACGTGTCCCTGTCCCATGTGTCCGTGGCACCCGGAGCTGCCGGCACTGCACTGGGATCACAGGCACCATCAGCCTGGAGCTCACTCGCGCCCCGGTGCCCCCGGGATGCAGGATGAGGCAGTGGCACGGGATGCTCTGTGGTCCTGCAGCTGGACATTCCCCTTGGGAAAGCCCCGTGTCCCTGAGCACATCCACGTGCTCAGCACCGCGCTGCTGCTCTCCTTCCCTCCTTGCACTGCGAATACCGCCGCGCCAGCCAGCATTGCTGGGAATGGGGGAGCAGCCGCAGGAAAAGCACCTGACGAGCAGCGCTTGCCTCCCAACACCCCTCTGAAATAATAACGATTTGCCAAATGGCTGGGAAGTTGTTATAATTCCTTCTCCAAATTATTGCTCGCCCTTTAGATTAGAAATGAGGCCGGGGTTAGCAATCAGCCCTAAATGGAAGGATTTCTGAAGGAGCAGCACTTGTCTGATTGTGAAGTGGGTCCATTACTGCCTTGATTGAGCGCTCTGCGCCCGCCTGATTCGCACGGCGGCGGGCGGCGCATTCACGGCCCGGCGCAATCACGGCCGCCTCCCACTCCGCGCGCCGGCTCGGGCGCTCGCGCAGCTGCCGCCTCCCAGCGCCGTCACGCAGGGCCGCGAGCGCCGCTCGTGCTCCTCGCTGCCGGCCCCATTTCTCCAGGTACTGCTCCTCTGCAGCAGATGCGTTTGCTTCAGAGCAGGTCT